CCCGCTCCGCACGACAGTTTCCGGATGCCAGTGGTCCGAGTGCGGATCGGTGTTGACGGAGCCCGAGGGCCAACTGACGTCTCCGTGTTACCCGAGCAAGTACGGCAACTCGGCGAGTTGCCGGTGGAGCCTGCGAGCGCCGCCGGGCTTCGTGGTGCAGATCCGGTTCGAGGACTTTGAGCTCCCCCCCCCCCCCGCTCCGCACGACAGTTTCCGGATGCCAGTGGTCCGAGTGCGGATCGGTGTTGACGGAGCCCGAGGGCCAACTGACGTCTCCGTGTTACCCGAGCAAGTACGGCAACTCGGCGAGTTGCCGGTGGAGCCTGCGAGCGCCGCCGGGCTTCGTGGTGCAGATCCGGTTCGAGGACTTTGAGCTGGAGGAGGCGCCGGGATGCATCTACGACCGGCTCACGGTCGCCACGGGCGACGGCCAAGTCAAGTTCTGCGGTCTGACGGCGGCCGGCCTCGTGCTCAACGCCAGCGGCAACGCCGTGGACCTGGACTTCGCTTCCGACTTCAGCGTTCAGAAAAGAGGCTTCAGGATCGGCTTCAGGCACGGTAGGGCGGCACCTTCGCCGTGTCGCCGGAACCGCGCGTGGCCTTTTCATTTGTTTGATTCGCTCCCTAATTTGTTTCCCGCTTTCCGTCTTTGTCGCCTTTTTGGCTTCCTTGTTTTTTTTTTTTTTTTTGCCTTCATTTTCATCCTTTGCCGTCTGCTTGGTTGCGGGCTTCCTTTTTGTGACCTCCCGGCCTTCCCTTCGGTGTCCTCGTCCCGGTCATCTTCCTTGCCTCGCGCCCGCCGCCTTCACCCTCCCCCAACCCCGCGTAGTCGCCGTCGCCTTGAGAAATCAGAAGGTCGGCCTCAGCGGAAGCGGCGCGCCGGCGGCCCGGGTGTCGGCTTCCGTTACCGTGCCGACGCTGCATCAGCTGACTCTCTGCTTGGAGATGGAGCGGAGTGGGCCCCCGCAACAGGCAAGCGTCGCCGTCACCTCGCCGCGCTCCCCGCCGGGAACGCCGCCTTTCCCTCCGCGCCGCGCAGAAATGGTGGCGAGGAGGGATTTCTTCGCTGTGACCGGCTCACGTATTTCTTGGCCTCTCCCGCCGGCACTTGATGCCACGGCATCGCAACAAATTTTGGTTTCGCTGACGTCTCTCGTTGCGGCCCACCCAAATTGAAGTTAACGAGGGCCCGTAATGCCCGGGCACGCGGGAAAGGAGAGCCGCAGTCGCCGATGCGCTTTTAGCCGCTTACCGACGGAACGACAATGCTCGGAAGCCGCAGGAAGCCGCGCTAACGTGCAGAGCAACCGGAGCGAAGCCGCTCGCTAGCCGCGACTCCGTTTACGTCCGAGTCGATGGAGTTTTCCCGCGACACGCGGCTCCATTTCTTTTTTGGATAAAAACCTTGAAAATGGAGCCGCGCGGAGCTTAGTGACGGAACGAATGAAACTCCGAGTCGGGTTAGCGCCGGCCGCGTCGCCATGCGGGACCGGGGAAGGAGTGAAGCGTTCCCGGCCGAGCCGCGGTCGACGTGACCCGTCGGGCGACGACACAAACGTCGCGATGGCACGGCACACAGGCGGAGTGGATCTTCACGTACGCCGACGCGGACGGCGACGCGGCGCTGGCGCTGGGCGCGGTCCAAGGCCGCGTCCAAATGGTGGTGGGGGGCGCCGCGTGCTGGCTGGACTCGGCGGTGACGCCGGCCGACTGGACGTCCCCCGCGCTCGGCCTGTGCCTGCTGTGGGCGTCGCCCGCCGGTCACGTGGGCGTCTACTTCAACGGCAAGCATTGGGCCCGGACCTGCTCGGCCTCCAGCGGGCGCTCCGTTCGCGGCGGCGGCGCCTTTCGCTTGGGAGGTGAGACCCTTTGCTTTCGAGACCTCAACCCCACCCAAGGACACCGGTGCGTGTGTGTGTGCGTGCGTGTGGATAGAAAATGTAAAAACCCAAAATGCATGGTGTCCAGCGACACGCCAACATGCAGTCGCCACACCGGAAGGCCAGAGTCCGTCTTCCCGAGCCGCGAGACAGACGTGCTCGGCGGCCATCCCAAGCCAAACATTAGCGCCGGCGCCTGGCGAAAGCCGGCGTTTGAGGCGCGTTCCGCGCGCCCTTTTACCTCCGCCGCGAGGACTGACCCGAGCTGTCGTGCGGATCAGGGCCAAGCGGCTTCCGGGGCAGCGCGTACAACGTGCGCGTGTGGGACTACGCCATGACGCCGCAACAGCTGGACGCGCTCGGCTGCCGCGCGGCGGGAAACGTCATCGACTGGGACAACGCCTTCTGGGACGTGCCCCCCTCCCTGGCCCGGACGGACCCCGCCCTAAGCTGCAGTGAGTCGCTTTGCTTTTTCCTCTCGATGGCGGGGGTCCTCGAGGTCCCCCTAGCCCCGCCCATCCGCGTTCCCCCCGCGCGGCTTTTCCGCCGGTACGCCGCCCTCCTCCCGCGTTCCAAAAGCGGGCGCGCTCGGCCGACTGAAGAATGTTTGTCTCGGCGATCGGCGAGCGACCGGTTGCGGGTGTCGCCCGATGACGGCCGCGATAGGCTCCGGCGCGCCCGCGACCCTCCTGAGGATGAAGCGCTGCCATGGATGAGTGGCTCGCCGAATCGGGGTCGCGTGGCCTTGAAATCTTGCCAAATGTCCCATTTTTCGACGCAAAAATTCAATTCCAGCGATTCCCCGCCCCCCCGACTTGCAAAAATGAAGCCGACGATCACGTGATTCCGAACAAAGTTGGCATTTCTCTTTCTCTCTCCGAGCTTCGAAAGGCCATTTTCCCACGACTAAGCTAGCTTGCATCAACTTCCGGACGAATGGCGTCGCGCGCAAGTGATGCGCAAATCGCGTCGGTGAGTTAAACGATGCGCACGATGTCGCCGGGAAATGCCAACGTTGTCGCGCGCGTGTCGGTCAGCGTCGCGCTTTGAACGGGCATGACCGCATTTGTCTTCTTGTTTTTCCGTCCAGGTGTGACCCCGCCCGGCGACGGCTCCGTCCGCGGCGACTGCGGCTCCACGCGCGTCGGGTGTCCAGGTAACAACAGAAAAGAACCGCGGCAGCACATGGAGCGCCATCCACGCCGGGACGCGCTCTTGCTCTCGCTGTTGTCATCCGCGCCGGATGGCGTCTGCACGCGCGCCGCGAATGTCAAGTGGCGTCGGTCATGCCGCTTGTCTCGTCTCCCTTTGCGACATTCCCGCAGCTGCTTCCTCTCCCGCCGACTCCACTAACAGCGTCCGCGCTACTAATGCGACACACACACACACACGGTAGGTAAGGCACGCGCGCACTCAACGCAACGCCACCCTCGCCCCCCCCCCCCACATCATCGGCCTTTCTCGGCGGTACCTTTCCTTTTGTTGTTCTCTCTCGTCTCGAGCGTCAACGGAATCTGGATTGTGAGTTGCGACGCTTCATTTCGACAGCAGCGCTGTTTTGCCGCCATGTATGCGCCCAAACTGCTCCGCTCCCATTTGACTCTTCGCTTTGTAACGCGCCGCGTACGCAGAGTCTCCGTCCTGATCAAATGTGGCGCTGATGTTCGGTGCGGACTGTCACTTTTTCTTTTTTTGTTTGTTTGCCGCTCGTTGTCGTATGTGCTCGTCGCCGCCTCCTGGTTGCAGCGTCGATGCGGCACGACATCTTCCCCCCGCAGACAAGCAACCATAAGGGACGCCCCCAACTCGCCGCCCCAGCGCCTCGGCCCCCCCGCGGACGGGGGCGCCCCCAACTCGATGTTGCGCCGGCACTCCGCGGTCCCCGGCCGCCCGCCTTCCCACGGCGCCGGTCGCGCTCCTTCCCGCCGTTTGTCCCCACGGCGCCCGCGAAGACCGGTTCTGGTGGCCCCGAACGCCGACGGACGTGGGCTCCCGCTTTTGCGTCGAGGCCGGCCAAAGTAGACCCCGAGGGGCCGCCCCCGTCGCGGCACC